TAATGTTTATAATTTATAAAAGTATTATTGAAAAATTATTTTTTATTAATTTATTAATAACCACCTTGCTAAGTTTATACAATTTATATATTGTTGACAACAATTTGTTGTTTACTTTAATTTAGCTGAGATTTAGTTAAAAATAATTAGTAAAATTGAAATAATTTGATTAATTTATTTTTATATTTATTATTAATACAATAATACATTAATTAACAATGCGATATATCCGATTAATTTTAATAAATTAAAATTTTATTTTTTTACAAAAATAATAATAATGTATAATATATTTTTCATATAATTAATTATTAATTGAAAAAAATTTTAAGTAAACAATTTATTTAGCAATTACGTCCTCGGTGATATTTTCTAAATATTCAGTAATATTCAAACTGTTTAGGCATTAATATGTATTACACAAATACAATGTTACAGTTTGTATAAAGTTTTTTTTAAAGTAGACAATTGCTAGATGTTTAATCAAATAAACAAAAAATTAGATATACCTAGAATCTAGATCCTAGATAATTTATTATAAAAAATAAAAATAATAATTTTAAAATTAGACAAAAATAAACAGTTATATATAGTATATATATATATACTATATATAACTGTTTATTTTTATATATATATATAAATTGTTTATAAGTTTATAAATAACTGAATAATATTAAGTAATATTATATATATATATAATTTATTAATAGTTTTATTTTATTTTTTACAAAATTATTTAGTGTATAGTAAAATATTGAAAATATTTTTTTTTTAAATTATTATTAATTAAAATAGTTGTCATGAATTCAATTATATCAACAACAAAAAAATTTTTTTTATAAATATAAATTTAATATTTTCTATGATTATTATTCAAAAAATGATTGTAATTATGATATAATGAGTTAACAATGAAAATGTATTATCTTTATAAAAAAATTAATATAAAAATAACTAAATGATTTTTACAAAAAAAAAAATATTTTTATGATGCTATAATTATTGATTAATAAAATATAACATGATGAATAATTATTTTTTTTTTAAAATCTATAACATGTCAATATCTCTCTATATTTTATTACATTCAAGCAATTATATACTCAATATATATGCCATGAATACAATGATTCAGTTTATAAAAATAATGTTTATTATGTGTATGTGTATAGGTATAGGTGTGTGTATATGTAGGTATAAGTGTGTGCTGTTATAGATGTGTGTATGTGTGTGTGTGTAGGTGTATGTAGTAATACTGTATGATTGCAGAAAAAATTATACAAAATAAAAGTTAATTATATATTGGATTAGATTTTATAATTTTAAAACTATTATTGAAAAATTATTTTTTAATTTATTAATAACCCATCTTGCTAAGTTTATATAATTTATATAAAAATATATTATGTTGTTTAGTATAAATAAGTAGTAAAATTAAAATAATTAGATTAATTTATTTTATACAATAATACAATACATATAATAATATACGTATAATAATACAAGTTATTAATACAATAATACATTAATTAACAATGCGATTAATAAATTAAAATTTATTTTTTTTCCAAAAATAATAATAATGTATAATATATTTTTTATATAATTAATTATTAATTTAAAAAAATATAAGTAAACAATTGGTGATTAGACGTTGACTAATTAATTAATTACATTCAAACTGTTTAGGCATTAATATGTATTACATAAATACAATGTTACAGTTTGTATGAAACATTTGCTAGATTTTTAATCAATTGAAAAACTTAAATATAATGTATTATATATAATAATAATAAACTTTAATAATTTTTAAATAAAGATTATAAAAAAAAATATTATAAATTAAAAACATTAATATAGTATATTTCCGAACAAATTAATTAACTAATATTTTATGAAAATAAAATAAAGCAGTTATATAAATTATAATTGTGTAGTATATAAAAATGTTTATAAGTTTATAAATAACTGTGTGTTTAGTAACTAAATAATATTAAGTATTTTATATAGAAATAAATTTATTGATAAGTGTATAATAAAATAATTAAAAAAATATAGCATGATAAATAATTATTTTTATAAAAAAAAATCATCGTCTAACTACCGCTTCTTTATTTAATTACATTCAAGATATTATATACTCGATATTTATGCTATTAATACAATTATACAGTTTATGATAATAATGTTTATTATATATATGTTTTTGTATGTATGTGTGTGTGTGTGTGTGTGTGTGTGTGTGTGTTTATGTGTATGGGTTTTTGTGTGTATGTGTTTATGTGTATGGGTTTTTGTGTGTGTGTGTGTGTTTATGTGTATGGGTTTTTGTGTGTGTGTGTATATGTGTATTTATTTGTGTGCCTGTGTATGTATATATATATGTGTGTGTGATTAGTATATGTGTGTATGTATGTACTGTAAGTATGTATTTGTGTGTATGTATGTGTGTGTGTGTGTAATAATACTGTATGATTGCATAAAAAAAATTACAATTTTATTTTAATTCTATAAGTATTAAAAAACAAATTATTTATTTTTCTTTATCTAATAAACACCTTGCTAAGTTTATGCAATGTTTATACAATATATTAAATAGTTGTTTTATTGAAAATGTTTCAAATAATTAGTAAAATTGATATAATTGATAATTTAAATTATATTTATTATTAATACAGTATAATTTAATTAGCTGCTATATATTTTATGAATTTTAATTAAATGTTTAAAAAATATATTTTGGTAATTAATTAATTATTTAAAAAAAATCTATTATTTAAATCTATTAAAATAAACATATATAGGTTTGTTAATTATTAAATTACAATCAAACTGTTTAGGATTTAATAAATACAATGTTATTGTTTATAAATTTTTTAAACAAATATTATAAACAAATTTTTTTAGACGAAAATTATAAGTACCATGATAATGTATTATTATAATAATAAACTAGATTATTTATTTTTTTTTAAAATACATTAACGATAATAAAATTATAAATTAAAAAATATAAATAATTATTAAATTATGTATTAATGGTGAAAACTTAAGGAAGTAATTATTTTTTTAAATTAAATGTTATATATATATATAATAAATGTCTCATAAATAAAATGTTACAGTTAGTTGAATAACTAATATTTTAAGTATTAATAAATTAGTTTTATTTTTTAAAAAATTATTTAATTTTTAACTAAAAAACTTTGCTAAGTTTATTTTTAAACAAAATTATTGTATTAATATTTAACGTTTAGTAAAATAATTTTTAAAATATATTTTTAAAAAATTATTATTAATTAAATAAGTTGTCATGAATTCAATTATATCAATAACAAAAATTTTATATAAATTTAATATTTGCTATAATTATTATTAATAAAAAAATGATAATTATCATAAAAATGAGTTGACAATGAAAATGTATTAATTTATTTTTAAACTAAAACTAAATAATTTTTACAAAAACATATTTTTATGATGTTTAATTATTAATTAATAAAACATAGCATAATTAATAGTTAATTTAAATAATCGCCAATGCGTGATCGTCTATTAATTATATTACATTCAAGTAATTATATATTCAATATTTATCCCATGAATACAATGTTACAGTTTATGAAAATAATGTTTACTATATTAGTATACATATATAATATATACAATGTGTATATGTACAGTATGTGTGTGTATATGTGTGTGTATTTGTATGTGTGTGTATATGTGTGTGTATATGTATGTGTGTGTATGTGTGTGTATATGTATGTATGTGTGTGTATGTGTGTGTGTATATGTATGTGTGTGTGTATATGTATGTGTGTATATGTGTGTGTATATGTATGTGTGTGTATATGTGTGTGTGTGTATATGTGTGTGTATATGTATGTGTGTGTATGTGTGTGTATATGTATGTATGTGTGTGTGTGTATGTGTATGTGTGTTTATTTATATGTGTGTGTATGTATGTAATAATACTGTATGATTGCATAAAAAATTACAACTACAAAATTTTTATTATATTTAATTAGCTAAACAAATTTTTATAATATTTAAAGTTTTAAAACAAATTATTAATTTTTTGTTATCTAATAACCACCTTGATATGTTTTTACCAATTTATTAATTAGTTGTTTACATTAATAATAGTTAAAAAAAATATTGTTGAATAATTAGTAAAATTGAATTATTTGATAATTTAATATATATTTATTATTAATACAGTATAATGTAATTAGCTGTACCAAGATAATGTATTATTTTAATAATAAACTAGATTATTTTTTTAAAAAATTTACATTAACGTCAATAAAATAATTAATTAAAAATATAATTAATTATTATATTATAATTGTATAACAAATCAGTATTCATTATATTATTAAATTAAAAAAGTTAATATATAAAATATATGTGTCATAAATAAAACGTTACAGTTTTTGAATAACTAATATTTTATGTATTAATAAATTAATTTTATTTTTATTTTTAAAAATTTTAACTCAAAACTTTGCTAAGTTTTAAAAAAAAACAAAATTATTGTATTTAGTATAGTATAATAATGAAAATATTTTTTTTTAAAAATTATTAATAATTAATTACTTATCTTGAATTCAATTATATCCCAAATTTATTTTATTAAAATTTAATATTTACTAAGATTATTATTAAATGATATAGTAAACTTTATTTTTTAAAAAAAAATTATATACTAAATGATTTTTGTAAAATTTTTTTTTAAAGATTATTAATTAATAAAAGAGACCATGATCAATAATTATTTATTTTTTAAAAATAATCTCTACCTCACCTTGGGTCTCTTTATTTTATTACATTCAAGCAATTATATACTCAATATATATATGCCATGAATATAATCATACAGTTTATGAAAATAATTTTTATTATATATATATCGTATTATATATTATTTATTATATATTATATATTTGTAATTATACTGTATGTCTGCATAAAAAAATTACAACTACAGAAAATAAAATTATATTTAATTAGCTAAACAAATTTTTATAATATTAAAAGGGTTAAAACAAATAATTTATTTTTTAATAATCTAAAAACACCTTGCTAAATTTTTACCAATTTATTAATTAGTTATTAACATTAATAATAGTTAAAAAATATTGTTGAATAATTAGTAAAATTGAATTAATTGATAATTTAATATATATTTCTTATTAATACAGTATAATTTAATTAGCTGTTATATATTTGATGAATTTTAATAAATATAATTTTTTTAAATGTATAATTTTAACTTATAGTGTTTAAAAATATATATATATTTCTAATTAATTAATTATTTAAAAAAATAAATAATTCAACGTTTATAAATACAATTGTTATGGTTAATAAATTTTTTAAAAAATATTATAAACAAATTTTTAGACGAAAATTATAAGTACCAAGATAATGCATTATTATAATATTTATTTTTTAAAAATTATATTATCAATAATAAAATTATAAAATCAATTAATTATTATATTATAATAATGACTTCTTTGTTGTTTTCATAATATTATTAAATTAAAAGAGTTATATATATAATAAATGTGTCATAAATAAAACGTTACAGTTTGTGAATAACTAATAATTTAAGTATTAATAAATTAATTTTAATTTTTTAGAAAAAAATATTTATTTTTTAACTCAAAACTTTGCTAAGTTTTTTTTAAACAAAATTATTGTATTTAGTACAGTATAATAATTAAAAGTTTTTAAAAATTATTATTAATTAAATAGTTGTCTTGAATTCAATTATATCCCAAATTTATTTTATTAAAATTTAATATTTATCAAGATTATTATTAAATGATATTATTTTTAAAAATGTGTTGACAATGATATAAAGTATACTATATTTTTTTTAAAAATTAAATTCTAAATGATTTTTGTTAAAAACATTTTTAAATCTTATTAATAATTAATTAATAAAAGTGACCATGATCAATAATAAATCAATAATAAAATCGGATTTTAGGATCCACTGCTAATTTTTTTATATTCAAGCAATTATATACTTAATATATATGCCATGAATATAATCATACAGTTTATGAAAATAATGTTTATTATATATATATATATCTGTGTGTATGTGTATGTGTATGTGTATGTGTATGTGTATGTGTATGTGTATGTGTATGTGTATGTGTATGTGTATGTGTATGTGTATGTGTATGTGTATGTGTATGTGTATGTGTATGTGTATGTGTATGTGTATGTGTATGTGTATGTGTATGTGTATGTGTGTATGTAATGTATAAAAACCATTGTTACTATAATTAACTATTTTAATAATCAATCGCTGATTATAATTGGTATGTCTATTTGGTATAACAGGTATTCAGCACCCTAACCGAATCGATACAGGGGCCCTGTATTGGCAATCAACAAGCACTGGCCCACTCTCGCCTATGGGACGCTGTAGGCGGTTTCATGTTTTTGTTTGCCCACATGCAGGATAAACTGTCGAAAAACTCGTCCCAATTGGATCTACTACTGGAACTGTTGGATCTGCAAAAAGAAATGGTAATTATGATGCTATCGATGCTCGAAGGAAACGTCATGAACGGTACTATTGGCAAACAAATGGTCGATACACTGGTCGAAAGTGCGGCCAATGTTGAGGTTAGTTATAGTGTTATAGAGCTAACTGGTTGTTTGGATTTTTTAGGTATTGATCTAACTGTCCATTTTGATAACATATATTTACCATACCTATCCCGTCCTCTCATTTACAGATGATTCTCAAGTTTTTCGACATGTTTCTCAAGCTCAAGGAAGTGATCACTTCAAGCACTTTCCAGGTATACATACATATGCTATACGACCTTCTATACCGCCTGTCCCCTGAGCTTAACATTTGACTTCAAAAATTAAAACCTCTATTGTTTTTTTCGGTGGGGAACAGGAGATCGACAAACGTAACATCGGTTGGGTGACAGCCAAAGACTTCCAGAAGGCTATGGAACAGCAGAAGATCTACGCCACCGAAGAAATCCAGTATCTGATGTCGTGTTGCGAACCCAATCACGACGGCCTTATCGACTATCGGGAATTTACCGAACGTTTCCATAATCCGGCCAAAGATATCGGTTTCAATTTGGCCGTATTGTTGACCAATCTATCCGAACATATGACCAACGATCCCCGTTTGCAGCGGTTCCTCGAAACGGCATCGTCGGTGTTGAACTATTTCGAGAACTATTTGGGACGAATCGAAATCATGGGTTCGGCCAATCGTATCGAACGGGTCTACTTCGAGATCAAAGAGGAGACGATTAATCAATGGGAAAAACCGCAGATCAAAGAGTCGAAGCGGGCCTTCTTCTACTCGATTGTTACCGAAGGCGGCGATAAGGAAAAACTGGAAGCGTTTGTCTCGTTCTGCGAGAACGCCATCTTTGAGATGCAACACGCGAGCAGTATATCCATGGAGGACGATGAAGAACCAACCAAAGCTGGTATGTCTGGTTGGATGTGTGTGTGGGTGTGTTTTGAGAGGACAGTCTGTTCTCACATAGAGAGAGAGATAGAGAGAGAGAGAGAGAGAAAGATAGACAGTCAGAGAGAGAGAGAGATAGAGAAAGATAGACAGAGAGAGAGACAGAGACAGAGAGAAAGATAGACAGTCAGAGAGAGAGAGATAGAGAAAGATAGACAGAGAGAGAGAGAGAGAGAGAGACTGAGAGAGAGACTGAGAGAGAGACTGAGAGAGAGACTGAGAGAGAGACTGAGAGAGAGACTGAGAGAGAGACTGAGAGAGAGACTGAGAGAGAGACTGAGAGAGAGACTGAGAGAGAGAGAGAGAGAGAGAGACTGAGAGAGAGACTGAGAGAGAGACTGAGAGAGAGACTGAGAGAGAGACTGAGAGAGAGACTGAGAGAGAGACTGAGAGAGAGACTGAGAGAGAGAGACTGAGAGAAAGGCATAGAGTGATATTAAATAGTTTATCAATATTTTAACCCACTTGCTCTAACCTCTACCCCCCCTTCTCCCCACCTCATCTTATTATACTATTAGGTGATTATCCCTATCCGTCCAGCGAGGAGACGCCTCCCTCAGCCATCGAACCCATCAAAAATGTTTTCCGCTATTTCTGGACAATCATGTGTTCGGTGTTTGCCGTATTCAAGCCGTCAAATATACGCAAACAGTGGAACCGATTGAAAGAAAAGACATATCTCGAGCTATTTATCGGTAGTTTTAAACTGACCTTTGGTTCGCTATTTTTTGTCGGCTATACCGTCTACGCGGTCAACAAATGTGTACTGAAATTCATACTAAAGCTAATGATTGGCGAACCGATTGGCGGCGCTTTGGAAGAGGAGGAGTATGAATACGAAGAGTCGAAAGCACTGATACCGTCGGTGTCGATGATGGCCGGAGCCGGTAGTGTCAACTATGGATCGATGGGCGGCAGCGGTGGCGGCGGTGGCGCCGATAGTAACAACATTATGAACAGCAGCGGTGGTAGCCGTATGGCTATTATGAGTGCCGACGATATTGCCAGCGGTCATGAAGGGGTGTCGGCTGGAGGAGTAGATGACGGCCAGTCAGGTGAAGGCACAGTCGGTGGGGATAATACTCAGGCGACGTCCGCTGTCGGCGACGGTCAAGACACAGGAGATCAGTCAACAAAACGTCAGACAAACGGCGACATAAAAGCTATCGAAAGTGCAGAGACCGATACCATCGATGACGGTGTTTCCAAATCGGACGATACGATTAGCAGTTCAGCTGAGCCGACAAAACCAACATCGGCTGCTTTCGAGGACAGGACTGGTGGCCAATCGGAAGCCTCTGGTAGTGGTGGTGGTGAGGCGTCGTCGTCACCAGTAGTCTCATCGTTGCCCAACTTCGGGAACTATACAAAACGTTTTGTCTACTGTTTGGCCCGTAATCTCTATACTATCAAAAAGTTTGCCCTATTTTTGGCGTTCATCATGAATGTGATGCTAATGTTCTACAAAGTGTCCAGCAATTTGTCGACTGCCGACGGCGGTGATGGCGGCGATGGGGAACAGGAAGGTAGTGATAATGGCGGCGGTGACGATCTAGAGTTGGTGGCCAACGGTAGTGCCGAAGTGATTGGCGAAATCATTAGCGAAATGACTACTGTTGCCGCCGATATATTATCAGGTATTTCTTCAATCTATTAGGATATATATACCTCTAATTGCTACATACCGGTGCTCTCTCTCACTAACTCACTAACTCACTAACTCACTAACTCACTCACTCACTCACTCACTAACTCACTAACTCACTCACTAACTCACTAACTCACTAACTCACTCACTAACTCACTAACTCACTAACTCACTAACTCACTAACTCACTAACTCACTAACTCACTAACTCACTAACTCACTAACTCACTAACTCACTAACTCACTCACTCACTCACTCACTTTCTCTCTCATTCTCTTTTACTTTCATCCTAAGGCATTGGTGACGATGATGACGGTACCGGTGGTGGCGGCGGTGGTGACGATGACGACAATCTTATCGAATGGATTCAGATGGAAGAGGGCTGGTATTATTTGGAACCGGCCCTCAGATTGCTGGCACTGTTACATTCGGCCCTATCGTTTTGTATGCTCATAGCCTACTATAACCTGAAGGTGCCGTTGATTATATTCAAACGTGAAAAAGAGATTAGTCGTCGACTAGAGTTTGACGGCCTATTTATTAGCGAACAACCCGAAGATGACTATCGGGCCCAATGGGATAAACTGGTTATTAGTACGCCATCTTTCCCCGTAAACTACTGGGACAAGTTTGTCAAGAAACGTGTCCGTGCTAAATACTCGGAACAGTATGATTATGATAATTTGTCGGCACTGTTAGGTATGAGCAAACAGGGCAGCGGCGGCTCATCATTGGATGACCAGTCGTCGGCCGGTAGTGGCGGCGGCGGAAGCGGCTACTTGTCGATCATAACACAGTGCGACTGGAAGTACCAGATCTGGAAAGTTGGGGTAACATTCATGGATAATGTATGTCTGAAACCTGAAAACAGTTTTCCACGAAATGGACAGTTAGATTGACAGTTGTTTTTTTGTTTGTATAATTAATTTCAGGTATTTCTATATAATTTGGTTTACTTTATACTGTCAGTGTTGGGACAGTTTAGCTATTTTTTCTTTGCCGCCCACCTGTTGGACATAGCCGTAGTCATACCGACGCTCAAGACTATACTACAGTCCATCACTCATAATGGCAAACAGGTATTCAAAAAAAAAAAAAAACTATTTAGCATAACATGTCTCTCATTACATACCTGTTTATCATCATAACTAATATCATGTATTATATATATATATATATATATGAAAACAGTTGGTTTTGACGCTAACCCTACTGGTAATAGTTGTCTACATCTATACGGTTATTGCGTTCAACTTTTTCCGACGATTTTATGTCCAGGAAGAGGACGATCAGGTGAACCAAAAGTGTCATAACATGTTTACGGTATGTATTAAAATGGCCTGTATTTACCTGTAATTACTCATATAATTTACTTGGCGGTGGTGGTGGCCCTACCAGTGCTTTGTGTTTCATCTGTACAAAGGTGTCCGCGCGGGCGGCGGTATTGGCGACGAGATTGAGTCGCCCGACGGCGACGAATACGAGGCCTATCGTATCATATTTGACATTACTTTCTATTTTTTCATTATTGTTATTTTGGTGGCCATTATTCAGGGTATGGTTAATGATTTGGTCAGACATACACACATACACATACACATACACATACACATACACATACACATACACATACACATACACATACACATACACATACACATACACATACACATACACATACACATACACATACACATACACATACACATACACATACACATACACATACACATACACACAAATATACTGTATATTATACTGTATATATATACTAATATAGTAAACATTATTATCATAAACTGTATCATTGTATTTATGGCATGAATATTGAGTATATAATTGCTTGAATGTAAAAAAAATACAGAGATGAGAATTTGGTGACATTTTTAAAAAAATAATTATTTATCATGCTATGTTGTATTAATTAAAACTGTAACATTTTATTTATAACACATTTAGTTTTTACTTTACATGTTTTAATTTAATTAATTTATTAGACTACCAAGTTTGGCCAGATTTTATTTTACATTTATAATTTTAGATTTTTTTTATTATTATTAATTAATTTATTTAGCATCGTAAAATTTATTAATGAAATGTTCTAGATAACTTTTTTTTTATTTTGATAAAATATTTTCATTATGACACTTATTATAATTGTTTTCGAAAAATATACTGGATATATTATGTAAACTGTAACCATGTATTAATGGCAAATATATACGTAAATATTTAGATTATTTGAATAACTAATTTAATTAGGTGTGAAAATATGCACAATAATAATAATAATAATAATTTTTATAATTGATTATTAAATTTTTTTTTTAAAATGATTTTATCGTCAAATTTATTAGTTAACTGAACAATAATAACAACAACAAATTAGTTTCATAAATAAAAAATTATATATAAAACACAAAAATATATATATATAATAGAAAATAATATATATATAAAATAGAAAATAATATATATATAAAACACAAAAAATATATATATAAAATAGAAAATAATATCTATATAAAATAGAAAATAATATATATATAAAATAGAAAATAATATATATATATATATATATAACAAAATATATATATATATATAACAATATATATATATATAAATAGAAAATAATATATATATAAAACACAAAAAAATATATACTAAACAAAAAAAATTTACGCTAATATAATAATACATTTTTTTAATACACAACAAAATACACCTAATCTAATGGTTACCCATTTTTTTTTTAAATGGCATCCATCCATTAATAATAATAGGTCTTATCATCGATGCATTTGGTGAGCTCAGGGATCAGCTACAATCGGTTACCGACGATATGGAGTCCAATTGTTTCATATGTGGTATCGGTAAAGACTATTTCGATAAAGTACCCCATGGTTTCGACACACATGTAGCCAAAGAGCATAATCTGGCCAACTATATGTTTTTTCTGATGCACCTGATTAACAAACCCGATACCGATTATACCGGTCAGGAAACCTACGTATGGGAACTGTATCAGAAAAGGACGTGGGATTTCTTTCCCGTCGGTGAATGTTTCCGTAAACAATACGAGGATGAACTGGGAGGACAAACATGAGAGAGATAGAGAGAGAGAGAGCTACCGGTGCTCTCATACTATATATGTTAATTGATAGATACCTACCTACCCATTAACGCTCATTGATATGTATCGACAGCTCATTGATGATGACTCCCTAACCTTCCTTATCATCCGTTATTGTTGTTGTTGTTTAGGTCATAGTTTTAGATTATAAAAATAAATTGTTTTTTTCGGTTACAAACTACTGGTGCCTTTGATCTTGAATTTATATAAACAATTATACCAGTGATCTATCTACCAGTGCGCTTATCCTACTTAAATTTTTTTATATATATAATAATAATAATATATGTATTTAATGATTAAAAATTTTTTTTAATAATCGGATAGTTTTATTGAATATTATTACCTAATAATCTAATAATTATTTTCAATTGATTTTTTTGTTGGAATTATTTATAAAGTATATTATTTATGTTGATATTTATTGTTAATTAATAAAAAAAATACAGTATATTATAAGTTAATATTTAACTAAATAAATAATTGAAAACTATTTGAAACTATAAATGTGTTTACATTAATAGTATTATTATTATAATAATTGTTTAATATTTATTTAAAAAAACTATTTAGTTAATCAATAAAATAATTGTATTAAAATAAGTAATGTATAAAAAAAATTTGATTTGTTTTAATAAAAAATAATATTTTTAACTTTACATTCATTCCCTCTTTTTTTTCTCTCAAATTTGAAAAAAATATTTTAATGTAATTTTAACTAATAGTTATGTTTTTTTTGATTTTATATATTTGAATTAAAAACTGTAAATTTAAAATAAGCAAACAGTTTGTAAGTATTTGTAATTTATAAAAATAAAACTTATTTGACTAACGACTTAAATAATACAACATTTGACAAAAATTTTTTTTAATAAAAATAATATATAATTACTAAATGTTTTTTTTTAAAAACATAACGTTCAAAGTTTTTATAATTTAAAAAATAATTAAATTATATATAAATATGTTTATAGTTATTATTGTTACTCTATTTTAATCTATTTTTTTAATAAAAACATATTATTATTTTTTTTTAGTCATTGATAATTAAAAGTATAAAAAGATTGATATTTAGTATTTATTAAATAAAAATATTACAATAGGAATTTTTGTCATATTTTTACTAAACAATTATCCATTTTAAATATAATATTTTTGTCAATTATTTTTTTAAAAATAACCAATTAATTAATTTAGTTAAATACTAATAATACATTATAGTTATTTTTTATATAATAATTAGTTGTATAATTGTATTTGAATAAAAACTGTAAATTTAAAATAAGCAAACAGTTTGTAAGTATTTGTAATTTATAAAAATAAAAATAATTTTACTAAAGACTTGAATAATACAACATTTGATAATTTTTTTTAATAAAAATAATATATAATTACTAAATGTTTTTTTTTTATAAACATAACGTTCAAAGTTTTTATAATTTAAAAAGATAATTAAATTATATATAAATATGTTTATAGTTATAATTTGTTGTATACTTTTACAAGCTCTACGAAAATAGACATTTATGTCTACTTAGCTCTACGAAAAAATTAAACAATTGAATGGTATAAGCTCTACGAAAAATTTATACAATTATTATATTAATAATAATTACATTACATTGCATTAAACACTATACTATATTATAATAATGTAAACAGTAAAAGTTGTTAGCCTTCAAACAATGCTTATGTATACAACACAATGTAATACAATGTATAACAATGTATAAAAATACAAAACATTCAAAATTTTTAGTCAAAAAATTTTCAAAAAATTTTCAAAAAAAAAAAAAAAAAAAAAAAAAATCAAAAATATTGAATGTCTAAAAGTGTCATCAAAACCTAAAAAAAGTCAACCGTTAAAAAGTTAGCCATTGAAACTAATGTTAAATACTTATTTAAGCTATACTTTTAGTATTAACTTTATACGTATACTGTTAAGGTGTGGGTTTTCGGGCCTTAAGCCTGGAGATCGATTCCGTCCTAGAGACACTTTAGTGTTGAATCAATCATTGTTAGTCGAACGCGGGTATTATAAGGTAGTACAGTAAAATTCTTAATATATCTCACCCAATACATTTAGTTAAACATAAGTTTAATAGTATGAGTAAATTAACATTGATTGAAGTGGCAAAAGCATTAGCTAATCTAAAGCTTTTGCACTATTTTAGTATGATTTTAATCTAAATTAATTTATATTTAAATAGCAATTAAGTGCAAATGTTTTTAGTTTAAATTAAAGCTTAAATTTAGTTTAAAATTATTTGTTTAATTTGATCTAATTAAAATACAAACATTAAATTAAAATTATGTAAACTAACTGTTAGACTAACAATTTAATTAGTATATTAAACATATAATATACTAATTTAAATAAAACACTTAATATAAAGTAAACAATAATATATATAAAATATTAATGTAATTTAGGTTATATATGAAATAATAAAAAACACTATAAAATTTACATGTATTTTCATAATAAATATAATTAAAATTCATTTAATTTAAATATTGTTTGATTAAATAGTTATTACTTTACTATTAAACTTATTAAAATTTGGCTGTAATTATATTTTAAGTAAAATTAATTATAGATAAAACATAATATGTTAGCAATTATATTAAAACTTGGGTGTAACAAATTTCAAAGTTAAAAATGTAATAGAAAATATGGTAAGTATACAATAATACATTAGGCGTTATACATATATATATTGAAACCAACATTAGTATACTAAAACTTGGGTGTAACAAAATTTCAAAGTTAAAAGTATAATATAAAATATAATAAATATTCAATATTTCATTAGGCGTTATACATATATATATTGTAACCAATACTAATAATAAAACTTGGGTGTAACTTTAAGTAATGTATAATTATTAATTAATAACCATAATATGTATATAATAATAAAAATGATTATTAATATAATAACATTAAAACTTGGGTGTAACAAAATTTCAAAGTTAAAAGTGTAATAAAATATAAAGTAAGTAATTAATAATACATAAGGCGTTATACATATATAAATTGCAACCAATATTAGTTGTTTAAATTAAGGTCATAAAAATACTTCAGAGTATATATATATTGAATTAAATTTAAGAATATCATTCACACAAGTTTAAACACTTTAATAGTAATAATTAAAAGTTTGTATTACAAAAGCGACACCTATCGGACAAAATGGAAGCTGACGCATTGGCTAACATTGTTGCTTACCTTCGTATCAATAACAACAACAAATCCACAAATAACGTCGATGAACAGCTTCGTTTACGAGAAGAAGCATTGGCACGTGAAAAAGCTTATGAAGAGCAACTCGGATGGGATGGCCTACGTACTCAATCAGAGTATACAAAAAGCGCTGCGTTCAAACACGCCCTCAGCCATCAGCTTCTTCTGTGTCCAAACTGTAGGATGGACCATCTAAAGGCAATTGATGGTGGTTTTATTGTATGTAACTGTGGGGTTCGTTTCCAAACACCCCTAACTATTCATCAAATAGTCCATAAAATATGCGTTTTAATGGACTACCACGCCTTTATTCCTTGCGCCGACCCATTACTTCAATTGGATATGTTAATGGGCAATCTATGGATAAACTGCGATTGCGGATACCATCATTCTATTTTGTAATGGCCAGCATTTTTAAATATTTTTTTTCTATATATTATTATATATAGTTTTTTTATATAATATGTATATTATTTTATATATTTTTTAAAAAATAAAATATTTTTAAAATTTAATGATTTTTCATTTTTTTAAACTTAAAAATAAAATAAGAATATTTTTTTATTAAATTATTAAAAATTAAGTCATTCTTAGGCGTAGTTTATAAACAAAAATAAATTTAAATAATACTTTGATGTAGTTTATTATTTGTTTAAATAATACATATATTTTCAAGTTTATAAATAAAATAAATTTAAGTAATTTTTAGGCGTAGTTTATTTTTTGTTTTAATAATACTTATAAATAAAAAAAATTAAATGTTTAGGCGTTTCTACAATTTATTATAATAGTAACTATACTTCAAGTATATAAATACAAATAAATTTAAATGTTTAGGCGTTTCTACAATTTATTATAATAGTAACTATACTTCAAGTATACAAATAAAAATAAATTTAAATGTTTAGGCGTTTCTACAATTTATTATAATAGTAATTATACTTCAAGTATATAAATACAAATAAATTTAAATGTTTAGGCGTTTCTACAATTTATTATAATAGTAACTATACTTCAAGTATATAAATAAAAATAAATTTAAATGTTTAGGCGTTTTTACATTTTATTATAATAGTAATAATATTTAAAGTATATAAATAAAAATAAATTTAAATGTTTAGGCGTACTACAGTTTATTATAATTGTAACTATATTTCAAGTTTATAAATAAAAATAAATTTAAATTTATGGGTGTTGTTATTATATATGTATATTAATAACGTTATTAATAAAACAAATTTTAATTAAAGTTGAGTATATAAAGAGATATATTTTACATTCAATAATCATTCAGTTTTTAAAGCTAAAATTATTGTAAAAGTTATAACAGTTTTATTACTTTTAAAATAAAATTTTGTTGCAATGGCCGCTGAAAAAAGATCTGAATTATTGGCATCTATTGGTATGGATGAATCATCGTCGGACTCTGATATTGAGGAAGTGTTGCCATCAAAAAGTGGACTAAACGAACTGGAAGCGATTGGAGAGACTGATGATGACTCGAAAAAGCGCAAAGGAAAAGGCAAAGCAGGTCCGTCAGCAAAACGGGCTAAAAAAGTAAATGGTATAACATATGCAATGTATGAAAAAAGTACTCCATCCGGCAGCGATAAATCTGAAATAACTGAAAAAGTTTTTAGACGAGGTATGTAAAAATTATAACATAATATTTTAAAAAATTTATATTATTTATGTATAATTTTTACATACAGATTATGATGGTATATCAACAAAAGGTAAAGAGTTAATTTTTTTTTAAATTTAACAAAGAGGACGTGCCACCGGATAGAGATGAATCACATGTCATATATCCTGAGATCACTAATTACAATTGCAATTACCAATAAATTACCAATTGATGATGTGTTTACAACATTTAAAAAACTTCAACCAAAAACTAAAAAAAAGTAGTATCGGTTAAGTGAATATTAAAC